AAGTTGAGCCTACTAGCCAAATCATCCAATTGGAGTGCACTAATTGTAACTGCTTCTTAAATTGAGTCTACAAGCCAAACCATATGGACAGGGGACTCGGGTCACGTCCTTATAAGCACAAAGTTATTTTTAAATTTGAATGTAATAGTGTACTTAACTTGACATTAGCTCTATGTGAAAGTAGGTCAACATTAAAATTTCCTACATCGATAAATGATTGCAGATAGTGGATAGATTTCTATTCTTTAGATTTTAGTGATTAAAATTTTATCTTAAATACTTTAAAATTTTCATGATTTGAAATTCCTTTAATCTTCAAGACGAACCCCTCCAGTTGACATGGGCAATAAATATGTCCTTCATAGAGGTGATATTTGAAATCCTTAGACTATTGATATTTGATGTTTAATTGGATCTTACAACTCGAACATCACTAAACATCAATCATGTCAACTCTACGCCTATTGAGGAGAGAGATCGGATTGATCAATGAAAAGGGTCCAGTTTTGTCAACTTCAACAGTTGTGCTATGAGAAGGAGATTTGAACTAGCCGAAAGTGGGACTTACGACCTTGTCCTATGGGCAAAACAACCCGTTTGAGAGTGTGCATAATTATAATAATTAGCAATTTGATATTTGAAAAATAAGATTTTTGTAAAATTTTAAAATGCCTGCACATTTCTCGAGTCAATTTTTATTTTAGCACAAACATGACTTTAGCATGACATTCTCAGATACTTAACATTTAAAATCTTAAGACAAGTGACGAAGCACATTTGGGCATGAACTTTATTAGTTTGAGTTGATTTCTATACATTTTTGCATACATTTTAGGGCAACTTTAATTTGAGCTTAAGCATATTTTAACCCACATAGCATTCTTAGATGATCAAATTTAGAGAATTAAGATAAGCGAATGAGCACATGCAATTATTTTACATTTGCATGCACATTTTTCAATATATGGTTTTTCAAATTTTAATTCAATTTAAGCCCACACAACATTCTCAAATCGAATATTTAAGCATTAACAGCTTCAATCGAAGCACATGAGGCCATTTTAAATATGATTCGAGGCTAACCCACATAACATTCTCAAATCCTATGCTTAAGCATTTAGCAAACCGGTCGGAGCACATATGGGTTGGTTTAAGCTTTGGAACTTGAGCATATTTAAAAAGAATTCTATATTTACAAAGTGATTTGCATGCCTTTCATAACTACATGTTTAAGCTGAAAGGTGACTACTAAAGCATGCACAAAATTTCAACCTAAAACTCTTAACTTCTTTTGTCTACTAGTCCATTTGAGGCTATGATCCAATGGCGATGAATGCGATTTAAATTTTGGTTGTATAATTGTTATGCATCTCTCCCTTAGCTCTCATTTGAGTGCCTGAATGAACCCTCATAATTATAGGGTATGATTCTACGTACTTTCATTAGTCAATAAAATGCCTCATTTGCATTTATAAGTGAGCTAGTGTATTTATCACGGGTTTTATTCAAACTTGTTGATAAGTCGTCGAATGCCCCCATAAAGATTGTGCAGGTTTTATTTATATTTAATTCTGTATTTAGTATGTAATAAATTATATGATAATTTAAGTCCAAATTTTATCATTAATTTGTAATAGAAATTTTGTTATTTAGCAAACCGTATAAACATAATTCTAACCATATTTTGACAGTCTCCCGACGTCATCCCTATGAGGGGGCTACATATTAAAGCTGAGTCTGACCACCATGCTACGAATAGCATGTATGGATGGTGTAATACCACGGCCTGATCTTCATCACCTACTACACTACAAAAAATGTGTATAGGTTACCTGCATAAGAAAAAATCGCATGTTTTCTCTATCACACCATGAAAATGGAGTATTGGGTTCCGCTTGACGATGCATCAAACGAGCCAGAATAGCAATTCAAAAATTCAAGGATAGAAAATTTCATATCTCCCATACTACGAGGTGATAAATTTGACACCTGCATAAAATTTGTGACCTATATGCATATTCATAAATACATGATTTAGGTAAAATTCAACTTAAACCTCTCTTCTAAGATTATAACCACTATAGCAACTTCCAAACCTTATAGGACCTTAAACTCCATTTCTCACTTGGTTGATTTTATAAACACCAAAAAGATAACTCAAGTCTCACACAATTCCATTCTTACCATCTCAATTTGACGATGAGGCTTCTGTTGGGTCAAAATGGGTCACTGAAGTTGAAGTTTCGTGGTGTGGTGCGTGGGTGGTGAGTGGGTTGGCTCTCTAGGAGGTGAAGTGAGGCTTTAGGTTGCTGTGAAAGGGTTTAGACTAGGAGCGGCAAGAATAATGAAAAGATGTTCCAAGCAATGGGTTGTCACGTGAAGTGAATGAGTAATTGGTAGAGCAGTGAGGTGGCTCGTTGGTGGTCTGGATTTCAAATAAGTTTGGTGTAATGGCAGCAGCAGGGAACATGGGGGCTGGGAAAAGAGAGAGCGACGAGCGTTGAGTTAGGTTTGCGAGTACGGGATGGCACCAGTCTGGGACGGTTTCGGAGTTTGAGATTGATGAGTGACAGAAATAGGGCAGAGCGAGAGGATGTGGGATGCAACAACTGAAATAAAACAATAAAGAGGATTTTTTATTTTCTATCGAGTGGGATAGAAGAGATGCATGGGAAAGAGAAGACATGGGAGAGGAGAAGAGAAGACGTGGTTTTGTTTTATTGTGAGTAAGGAAAAAGGCAGGAAAATTTTCTTTTAATCCTTTCCTTTTTTTTTTGTTATGTCGAGCCAACTGAGGGCAAAAGAAAAATGGAGATCTTTCATGCAAAAACATCATTCAACTCCCTCTCCTTATTTCGTCCAAGTTTCTAGTGGTGAACCATTCTTTTTTACTACTATTATTGGCATAAGGAGGAGAGAGTAGCGGATTTGTGCAACTTTCCTTTTCTTTTTCTTTGTTTGTCAATTGCCGTGAAAGTGATATTTAAAAAATATTCCCTTTTTTTCTCAGAGAAACGGCAAGGGATGTGGGGCCCAATGACATAAAAGTATTTAATTCATTCCTAACTTTGGGAGCTCATATAGGAAGTAAATAATGCTAAAGTTAATCAACATAATGTCCAAATATGGAGAAATTTGAATTCGAAAATAATATATAATTAATATATAAATATGTAAATACATATTAACTTATATAAATTTGTAGATAAATACAAATATATATTAATTTCAATATATAAATTTATATTAAATTTATATAACTTTAAAATATTATGAATATTTGATACCTCGATGCATGTCAAACGAAACCTGATTCGAACACGAATAGGCTCGTTTGAACGGTCTCGATGATTCGTGTGCGCTCATTTGCTCCATTTTGTGATAGGAGGTTATTTGAGTGGTTTTGGCAATGGTAAAGGTGACTCGAATCAAAATTGCATTTGTCTCGCCGATGATTTGTCGTCTTCATTGTGCATGCTCTTTTTTATCATGAAAATCCATTACTTGGGCAATTTTGTCCCTCTTTATGCAATTTTGTGATCAACATATTCGTCATTCAACATTTGTCATACCTTGACTGGTTCAACTAGTGAAATATTTTGTGAGTTCAACACTTTATCAAGAGCTATCGGCCCTGCAGGTCGATGTATTGGCAACAATTAGAATTCAGCTTTTAATAAATTCTTTTCTAGCATAGCAAGTCTCCAATTTTTCCCTCTTTATACTTCAAAAAATGCTCCAATAATTACTGGAAGTAGGGATCTGCCAACAATCCTTCCTTGAACTTCATTATACAAAAAATTGAGTCAAAGCAAAAAAATTTATCAATATGACCCTTCTCCGTGATTTTTAAAAGTCTATAATCTGTGTTTTTTTTCATAATAATTGAAAAATCCAACTCTTACCATAACCTTCTTAAGAGTTTATGTATTACAAAGTCTTTACCTTGTTGAATTTCTACAAGTTTGATTGTCAATTCAAGGATTTATAACTGATTTCCAAGATGATCATACACTTAATTGATGTTGACTCTTTGTTCAAGGAATAGCCTATATAATTGGAGCTAATGTCTTCATTCATGGATTCAACAAGTCATAATCATGGAATTTTCCATCACATGAACCATATATCAGGTCCTCCTCTGTAGAAGCCTTCTGTTTGTAGTTCGAACGAAGAAATCACTATTCATTGTAATTTGAACAGAGTGATAAACCCGATGAGTTGAAGCATCTCAAGCTTTGCATGGTTAAAAAGCGAAGATTAAAAAGAGTATACTTCGGGGCGAAGAAAGAGAAGAGACACTAGAAACAAAATACAAGAGCTTGCTTTGATACCACAAAAAAAGAGAGAACTTCTCTATTTTCTCTCTTGATTATAGGTTTGTACATGGGCTTTAGTTAAAAGAGAGGCTAATGTGCATGGACTGCAATGATTTATGCCATCCCAACTTTCTTTTATTATATTCATGGTTGATTGAAACAAAATTATTAATGTCTATAATTAGATCCTAACATTTTCAGGTATGAGTTTATGTTAAGAATTGATGTTCTGAATTCCACATCACATCTACAGCTTGCCTTCAATATTTGTGTTTTCTTCCTGATTTCCACCAGCATCTATTTTCCTATTTTGCTTTTTTTGGAGCAGGTTGAGCGCATAAACCCGACAACTTGGGATGCTTCACTTTGTTTCCAACCAATGAGCTAAACATTCGAGGCACTCATCTATTTTGCATTGCTTTTCAGTTTTCCTCAATCAGCCAACCGTTGTTTCACCTTATTGTAATAATAACAGTAGTCCTGCTGATTATGGCAACAAGGTCAACAAATAATTATAGTCCAATGAATTGTAGCATAGAGCTAAATAATAGTAAATAAGGAGAAGAGCTTCAGCAAATGAATGATTATCAAATGGAGCAATATTTTCTATTATTCAAAAAAAATAAAAAACTGACAAAAATAATGAAAGAAAAAATATGAGAAATATACAAATAAACAAACCATGTATTCCTGACGAGAGCTTCTGTAGGTTGCGATGAAAAAAGGACGGCTAGACTTGAAAGAACGCGCAGTCTTTAAAGCTCTCTCATTTCCGAACACCTTTAATCCTCCTAGTATAACACGTCCATTTAGAACTTCCCCTAAAGATCCAAAAAACGAGCAATAGAAACAAAAATGGGGTCAAAAACATATGCGTAAGCTGAAAATAAAAAAAAATTAAAATGAGATGCACTCACGCCTCCGAATTGGAGCTCGAATGAGCGTGGTACTGGTCTCAGCACGCAATTCCCCTCTTATTTCCCTCTCCTCAACCTCATGTTCCACTTTGACGGCAGCAATAGGATCTTCCTTCTCGCAGCCAGTGGTCCCGTAGACCTTCACATCAAACCCTAGATCGCCATCATAGACAAATAGCAAAAATTCCCCCAACTGAACAGAGAGATCAGCGACAAAGCAGTCCCATCCTTCCCCGAAGAACAAGCTGTTACCCTCCCTCCTTAACATGACGGCCCATCGCCGCCCACCGCGGCTCCTTAGCACCGACTTGACCAAAATGTCTCCACTAAGGTGCTTGTAGAAGCAAGGAGGAATCCGCTGAGAGAGAGAAAAGAGTTAGATGGTGAAGCGGCTGAGCTGGAATCTAAGGTAAGGAGTCGGAGATTACCAGACTTGTTTGGAAGTCACCGATCATGACTTTGAAGAAAGAATCTCTCTCCCATAGCGGCTTTTCCATGGCCAGCGGCAGCTGTGGAAGTGAATAGATGAAACTTGGAGAGAAAAGAAGGGAATTTAGAAATGGGAATAATAGAAGAAAGGTTCCGCGCCATTATAAGCTACTCAGGTGAAAGAACCAAAGGTTGGAGCGGGGAGTGAGCGCAACGAGGGAGGGACTGGCTTTTATCGTCTAGCCTACTGGCTTTTATCGTTTAGCCGCCAGCAGTTACTAACGGGACGAATATTTCAGGTTATAAATAAAAATAAAGTGTGAGATTCTTTCTTTATTAATGTTGTGCAATTATTTTTCAAGTACATATGTTGAATCAAAATGTCCGAGAATCACACCTATGATATGGAGCATGTAGAGCAAGTGAGGAAGTAGAGAATGAACGAAAGCCACCTTTTTCATGAAATGACCTTTTATTTATAGTTGAGACGTCTTAAATATATAATTATCTTTAGATCTTTTTTATGTAAAAAAATTTAGGGGCATCGTGGTCATTTACATGCTACATTTAATTAGGTTAATAAACAATTATCGATTAACGGTGACATGATTCTTATTCACCGGCCCATACCTGTCCGCTCGGCGATGTGGGTCAAACCACTTATAGATGGTATGAAGGTTCCTCGGTAGGGTGTTCCCATGGCTTCTTCTCAAATTTTGGATCGTTCAACTTGTTTGTCAACCGATAAAGCGTCTTACATTCGGCCAACCCTTTGAGTATCTTTAATTCGGCCTCAATGTTAGCAAGTTGTTGACTGGGCAAACGACTCGACAAAGTCCCATGACGGTCTCCTGGCTTTGGCATTAATTCTCTCAATTATTCAACTTGGGTTGTTGACTGTGTCTGTCACATCTTGACCGGAGACCCATTTCTCTTATTGTATTCCTCAGCCTTCCATCAAGATCTGTGTTGTCACATCTGGTCATACATATCTAGTTTCCCAACATTATTTTTTTATGAAAATGATAGTTGTGACAGAAAACAAGAAAGTTAAATGATGCATTAAATGCAATTATAATTCTTAAAATCAGCATTAAATAATTAGATTCCATGGAATTTCGTGCACAGCCACCCTGTAAATAGGCTGTCATCAATGATCGGGTTTCCCGCATTTCCTTTTGGTCCAAAGCTTAGATCATTTCTCACGGCAAGTGCTCTGATCGCAGGTGATTAGAAGAGTAATCCTGGGGAATCCTCAAAAGATCTTCTAAGAAAGGCCTTCGGCTTATCTGTTAAGAAAATTCATCCTTTGTACCCCATGCTAAGAGTTGCCACAATGAAGGTGGCTCAGTTGGCGAGCAAGGAAGACGCCTCAAGGTTGACAAACCTGATAAGAGGAGAAGATTAGAACAGTTGGCATTAAAGGAGGGCTTTCAGGTGGTAGTGATAATGAAGATGATTCGTCTAATTATGTTCCTTGGGTGCATCGGAAGTCTGTGAAAGGTCGGGTCGCTACTCCTAATGGGTAATCAGTCGTCCCTAACGTGCGAGTGAAGAAGGATATTCAATGAGCTACCGAGAGCATGCATCCCAAGGATAAGTACATAGATGGTCCCTCTCAAATTAGGGAAAAGGGAGCTATGGTTGCTCCACTCACACCTGGAGAGAGTTTTTCATCCTTGCTCTGAGCTGAGGTGGATCGACTCCTTAGTAGGAGTCTAATTGTTGGTTCATTTGTAAAAATGATGTTTCTCAACCTATCTTAACTTCTCTTTTATTATGTAGTTGATCCAATCCCGATCTCTGACTCATCGGAGGTTGTTAAGGGCCAGATCTCGACTCCTCGAAAAATAACAAGGAACCAATCAGTGGTCGTTGAAAGGGAGTCAACCAGTTCGGTGGTTCGTCGCATGGAAGAACGGTGGACTTCTTTGCCTATGAAGTTGAAGCTTGGAGGAAGTTGACGCTTAATGGGAAGCTAATATAAACAATTGAAAGTGTAGTTGAATGCTCTTTAATAAAGTCATTGCTAGAGATCCTCAAGCTCAAGGTTGAAGCGGCGGATCATTAGACCAAAACTGGGTCCTTCAGATGGAGACCAAGCGCCTATGTACGGACCTAGCGGACATTCGAATGGCTTGTTCGGCCTCTAGGTTTTATGGCAATACTGACATTTTTTATAGATTTAAGCTAGATGGTACAAAGTGTTGTTGAGGCGTGGGTTAGTTGTACCTCAGGAAGCCGATAGAGTCAGTTTGTAATGTTCTTCATATCTGAATGAATATAAGTTCCATTTTTCGGTTTATGTTCCTCTTTGGTGTGGATAATCTAATTAACTTTTTCACTCTTCTTTATGTGTTGTGATGGGGATTAGTGTTTCCAAGGTATGGTCTGTGACGCTTCAACTTCCTTCTGAATCCTATATACAGGGTTGGGACCCTGAAGCGAGTTTAATTTTCCTCCTTTCCTTCCTTCGATTGTTTCTTCTCTCTCACCCTCCCCATAAGCCCCTCTCTATGGCTTCCAATTACTTCCCCCAAGAGTTCAAGAAGGTGCTTGCATCGGAGTGTTTAGTGTTGTCTTCAGACAAGGTTTCAAGACATCAGAGGTGTACATCTTCGAGGATGGTATAGTGTTGGAGGTTCCGGATCCAAATGACTTGACAACCAACGATTATGTGGGGCGGTTTGTGTTGTATCATGACTTGTTTATTCAGGGGCTTCGTCTTCTTTTTTGTTGCAAGCTCTAGGCTATTATAAATTATTACGTTGTTATTCCAGCCCAACTCAAGTTGAACTACATAGCGGAAATGATGTCATATGTCATTTATTATCACTGAATGGAGGTTTCTTGGTCGAGGGAGTTGTTCTCCCATGTGTTTTCCTTCAGACTTGATCCTGACGGCTATGTCAACTTCACTTTAAATAAAAGGATTCAGCTTATTGATCTAGAAAATGAGATAAAAACCTGGAAACACAATTTTCTTTTGGCATCATCAGAAGATTGGGGGGTTCTCACTCAGCCTTCTTGGGAACCCTGCAAGCAAAAGAAGATCTCCCTAGATGAGATGTTTGGCATCGTCCATCAAAAGAAAAAATCTTTTTGTTGCCCAATATACTCACGAGGATATAATGAACAAAGTTCTAAACTCTGGTAAGTACAGGTTAATGACTCAAGAGTTAAGGGCCTTCTCAGATGTCGAGGAGTTAACACAATGGGTTAATGATCCCCAATGTACGTGCTTCGTGTGTGTCTACATCAATTTCAGTTCCCAACACGGTGCCAAAAACCTGGTCCTCGACTGCATGCAACACGCAATTTTTAATACATAAATATTTCTCTCCAAAATTTAATTTTTTACACACTAGGGGTACTTGCAAGTGCACGTATTGTTTTCAAGTAATATAGGGTTTTCTTTCAAAAACCCTAAGTATTGATCCCACAAGGAAGGTGTTAATTCTTAATGACTTGAGTAAAAGTTCTAAGCTACAATAACTTATCTTAGCCCTAAATTTTCGTCTATAAGTTTGGTTTTCCTAAATTAACTACTTCGAATGTGGTTAAAAGCCTTACAACTAATGGTAAGGAACGCCCTCACCTACATCAATTATCACCTAAAAGCTTCTAATAGAAACAAATTATGAACTATATTTCCTTTAAAAGTTGCATCGCCGCTTAAACTACATCACCATAGCCAACCAGACAATGTGAGTGCACTCAAGTTTTAAATATATTGCTCTTCCAAGTCTTAGTCTCAACTTACATTAGATTTAAACACAACCTATGACTAGTATGATATGTCAATGAAGTAACAAAAATATTACTGATCACATAGAAATTAAAATTATTATATCATAAAACAAACTTTCCTACACATGTCATTACTTCATCACGACAGGAAAGAGTAAGGGAAACTACTCACTAAGCATGGAGAAGACACAGGGATTCTTCATTGCAAATGACATTGAAATAACATAACTATATTGTAATAATTAAAAGCAAATACAATAAGTGTACATGACTTATCTTTACTTAAGGTCCACACCCTCCTTGCACAACAAATAGTAATCCCTTACACTTCTCTCCAAAGTCACGAGAGTCACCAAGAATCCAAAAGACACTTCCCACACGAAGAGACACCAAGCCTCACTCTCTCTTCTCTCTCTAAGATTGCACTAAACACACACACACACACACACACCCCTCAAGAGACACCAACACACACATACAAAGAGACCCAACACTTGGAAATCTCTCTTTTTAATATCTCTCTTTTTAATATAACCCTCGAAATCCCCAAGAGTCACTTCAGATGCCCATTTAAAATTCATCCAAATACATTGCATTAAAAAAAAATCAATCATGGTGCTTAAGCGTCAGTCTTCTAGAAGCACAGGATAACAACCTAGTGCCTAGGCGTCAAGTCCTAACGATGCGCCAAGCAAATTTTTCTTCTTTGCTCCATCGACCCCAATTTGCTCCATTTGACTCCAATTTGCTCAATTTTTACTTCATTTATTTCAATTCCATAACATATGGTACCTGTAATCAAAAACACAAAAAGTACATTCTTTTAAAGTGCAATATCACTAAAAAATAAGTATTAAATGCATATAAAACGTAGTACATTTTTAGGCATGTCAAAATCCCCCAAACTTAAACATTAGTTGTTCTCAAGTAACACTACAACTTTAAAAATATGTTGATTTATGTTAGTGGGTTTCTTTAAGATAACCTAAAATTTTGTTCTAGAAATGTTATAGTTCAAACAAGAACAATTTCTAGTAAATCAGATGATATCTAAGGTATAAAATTTTTTAGTATTAAACTTAGGAATCCTGATTTTCTATTTAATTAATAAATAATTAAAAAAATTTCGAACTTTTGATTTTTAGAAAATATTAATTTCAAAATTTATGAATTCTATTTTGAAAATAATATTACTAATTCTTTCTAAAATTATGCTTAGAATTGATCCTAAGTTTTCTTCCTTAGAAAGATTCAAGTGAAATCAATTTTAATTAGATCCTAATTCTTAAGCTTCTCCTCCCTTTTTCATACTTTTACTTTTCTTTTCTTTTTCTTTTTCAATATCTTTTTAATCATTTACCTTTTTTTAGGTGAGCATTACTATATCTGGATAGGCTTTAAATGATTTTTAATTTTACTATCTGTTTTCTAACATCAAAAACTTATTCTTTATCATTAAATTAAAAT